TTTCATGGGTTATCCCTATTAGGGTAGCAGGTAAAATGTCCATCAGGAGTGGTGATGTGACATCTTGCTACATGTATACGTACCTTGAAGAGCCACTAGAGGGAAACTATTTCTGTACAAGATGTGAGCAAATTATTACTTTGGAAGCCCAGATCCTGGATCTAAAGAATCAGCTGGCAACACTGTGAAGCATCAACAACCTGGAAAGGAGTTTGGACCTTACCAGGGGCGGACTGACAACTCATGGGGCCCCCGGGCAATAGGAGATCATGGGGCCCCTGTGTCCTCACCCACACCCAAAAAAGCCTATAAAAAAGCCAATGAAAGGTACCAGGGGCATCTCATGGGGCCCCCTACTGACCCCGGGCCCTCGGGCAGTGCCCGAGTGCTCGAATGGTCAGTCCGCCCCTGGACCTTACCCATCAGGTGCTGGCTGGGTCCAGTATAGAGGGGGTGGGGATATGGAGGTACAAGAGCCAGAGGTAGGTAGCTGGGTTACAGTTAGAAGGAAAGGTAGAGGGAAAAGCCTTATAAAGGCTAATCCTGAGCTGATAAAGTACATCCCAATAAATATACCAAGTTGCATGATGTTGGGGATATCAGTTCAGGGGTGGCCTTGCTGGAGCAGACTTGAGCGATCAAGAGATCTCCAAATTTTCCACTTCTTAATAGGTGATTCTGAAAACCATTTATCATTTTCCTTCCACTTCATAATTAGGTGCCACTTTGTGGTCTATCACATAAAATCCCAATAAAGTACATTTATGTTTTTGGATGTAACATAACAAAATGTGGAAAATTTCAAGCGGTATGAATACTTTTTCAAGGCACTGTAAATCAACAATTTGCTATTTGAAAATTGCAGAGTTTCAAAGTAATCATTGCCTGCAAATATAATATAGGCCATATTAGAAATATAGTGAATGCTAATAAGACTTGAAGACTCAGAAGAAAAGTGCAAAATCCAGATGCTGCCAAAAAAGGCGATGAATGTATCTTCATCAGGCCAAACCTTCCTGTGAATGTGCTTCCAATAGGTAGGATCTGATTCAGCAGTAGGTATATGGGACCTCTGCAGAGAGAACACTGCTTCCACACAAAGAGCAAGCGTTCTTCTCTGCAGTATGCTGGCAGGGTTCATGCTTGTCTATTCAGGCTATGGCTTATTTTTAAAGAAATCCAGTTTTCAGACTTTGCACACCTTTTGATTCTATGCATCTGGAATGTATTAAACCAATTTAAACTGAAAGTTCAACCTGGCTTGAACAACTAGGATCTTAGTAGAAATGTTGAAATGGTCATCTCCACTGTGAACCAGCAGAGAGCACCAACTGTGCCAAGTGTAGTGCTAGCAGGGCCGGTGCTGCCACTAGGCAAACTAGGCCGTCGCCTAGGGCACACTGCCACCTAGGGGCACCTGGGTGCATCACAGGCCGGCACTCTCTTTTGTGTGGGACGTCACCATGTCATGAATGATCCTACAGCTGAGAGGAGGGGTGGCAGAGAGGGAGGAAGAAAGGGCGCTGGATGTCTGGGGCTAGTGTAGCAGCTGAACTGCTGTTCCTTCCAGTGTTCCTCTCAGACTCAGTCCATTGCTGAAAGCCGGCTGGCGGCTGCTGATCATTGTAAAGTTCCAGCCCTTCTCTTACTATTCAGGCGGAGCTGCACCTCCGGAGGAAGGTAATGTCTGTCTCTGTATTGTGTCTGTGTGAGTGTGACCAGGCCACCTGGACATCCATCACATGTGCAATGTGTCAGTGAGTGATGACATGGTCACAATTCCACAACCTGCTCTTCTAGTGCCTGCTGGGCCTGCTGATCTGTGTCATTGTTGGTGGTGGTGTGTTGTGTCGGATCTGTCACTGTGTGGGATCACTCAGTTCAGCTGCCTGCTGTCACAGTGTTTTATCTCCCCCCATTGCCTGGAGAATTCCAGCCTGGGATCTGTCAGAGTGTGGATCCATCATCCTCCACTAATTGCAACTGTCACCCTGCCACTGCCAGCCACAGATACAGTCCACCCGGGACACTGATTTTGTCTTTAATATTGGTGCCGGTGGCATCTTATGGCACTTATTTTTGCAAATTAAAAGAAATTTAGCAGCTTCATGTTTTGCTGATTTAATAATTTCTGCTTTTTTTTTGGGGGGGGGGGGGGGGGGGGGGGGGGGGGTTGTGCAAGTAGCTGGATACAAAAGGCTAGCTCTGGCCCTGAGTGCTAGTACTATGTACAATGCAGTGCAGTAACCGAGCATCTGTAGTTGATCACAATACAGTCCATTCAGTGCAGCACTGCTGCTCATCCCTGTCATCGCTTTGTTCTGTGCTAACCAGAACATGGATGTATGATTGCATGAAGTTTGTATGTTCTTGCCGTGTCAGTGACTTTCTTCCAGATGCGCTCTGGTTTCTTGCTGAAACCATTATAGAAGGCTAACCAGTCTTCTGCCCAAAGTGTTCCCAAGGTGGGTGCACTTGTATCACTGTATGAGGAACATCTGATTGTAAGGTTCTTTGGGCAGAGCCTGATGTGAAGGCTTCTATTTATACTCTGCAATACACCATGTTATGTTTTGGCTCTATATAAAAATAGATACCTACCTTTACCTTTTGCTATTAAAAGTCCAGCAATTATATATTGTGACACAGAAACCAATACATGTAAAGAGAAGTACAGCACAGTGATGGGGAAGTTGTTGAGGAAACACAGGAACAGTAGATATGGTTGGCAGACAACTGCAGCACTGAATAACGAATATACTTGGCTAATACTTAGAGTATGTTGCCCTCTAGTGGAGAATAAGAAGAATACACTGATATTAGGCAATTTTCAATTTAAAATGGGAAACCAATCCATTGATTTCAGTAGCAAATACTCAGGAATTAGCCCAATATGTAAAGTTCCTGTGTAAAAACGTTCTACACACCAAAATAATATTTTTTCCTGTACACATACACAAATGAACATTATGGGGGAAAAGTAAATGTACATTTAATGAATATATTAAAGGATATGTATGGGGTATATTAAAAAAAAATAAAACAACATAAATACTCACCTCCATGCTGCAGCGTTGGTCTGATGCTGCAGCTGTCCTTCACTGGCTCTAAGCCCGAGAACTTAGCGATCACATGATCGCTGATTGCTCAGTTCTCAATCTTCCTAGAGCAGAGAGCAGTGACTGTCAGTCTCGGATTCTCTGCTCTGCCCTTCCAGCACTTACAAGTACCAGGCTGGTAGGGGGGTGGGGGGGCACATCTGGCTTCGGGTTTCAGCCATACACTGAGAGCCAGAGCCAGCTGCCAATCATGCAGCTGGGTGGATCCTGACAATATGGTTGGGATCCTTCCAGAGCCTGGAGTGGCTCTGTGACATCTACGGACAGCAGGCTTTAAACCACTGTTGACTGATGATGGGTCACAGGAGAGCAAAAGAAATTGCACCTCTGTTACCCACAACAGAAGTATGGCCAAAAAGCTTTGGCCATGCTTCTCTTTTAAAAACTCACTTTTGCTGCTGTATTGCGGAGATGGTGACACTGCATGTGTCTTAAATGTAACACTTCCGTGAGTGTCAGAATTTTTGAAACCTCTGCCATATACTTTGTTCGTCTCTATACCACAGTGTTTTAGCAATTTAATAAGGTGCAAGATTTTCTAGCTAAGTATGATAATTTCCCCCATGGGACCTGGATTGCATTTTTTTCAGAAATCTAGGTCAGCAAAACGAGGAACCGTATGCACACAGAGCCTAGAATCAATATGTATAATAGAGAATATTAGGGCCTATTCACACTGGAAGAACTTCATACAATTGCTACATCTGCTGCGGATTGCAAGGGCAGTGCAATTTGAATGTGGTGCAGGAAAACGACACAGAATGTGGGTTTCTCACACAGCTAGTTACCAAAGCATGTAGTCAAAGACACATTAACCTGGATCATAAGTAACTGTAATCACAGTTCCCCCCATGATTAGGTCGGGTGGGGGAGATGACCAGGGGTGGACTGACAATTCATGGGACCCCCGGGCAATAGGGGATCATGGGGCCACCTGTGTCCTTGCCCACACTCAAAGCACACCCAAAAAAGCCTATAAAAGTTACCAGGGGCATTTCATGGGGCCTCCTACTGACCCCGGGCTCTTGGGCAGTGCCCAAGTGCTTGAATGGTCAGTCTGCCCCTGGAGATGACATATGTGCATCACCTATAGCTGCCAGCCTCAGTGTTACAGCCTCTAATACCATATTGCAAGATCCTAGCTGAGCTTCAACAAATAAAAATGTGTTCTCATTAAGTATGCAACAATGTAAACAGCATATAAATGTCAAACCTTAAGGGCTCATGTACACTGCAGCTGATAAACTGACATTCAGGAGCTGTTCAGAGTTTTTTTTTCAGCAGCCCCTGAACTCTCCCTAATGTTTTCCTATGTGTCCATGTACACTATGTCATTTACAGTCGTTTACAGTTGTTTTTTTTAATGCACCAAACTTGTGTTCAGGAGTAGATTTTATCAGCGTTTCAAACGCCAAATGCTTGTAAACACGTATAAATGCGGCTAACCACGTTTATAAGCGGTTTTTAATGGTTCCATATTCAGATGCTGTCCAGAGCCTTTTTTCATCATCAGAAATGCATGCAAAGCATTTTCCATGTATTCAAATGGACCCGGTATACCAGTGCAGTCAGTTCCAGGTTTTGCGTGAAGGAAAAAATGGTAGAACGTGACGCATTATGCTCATGATGGGATCCATAGTGAATACAACCAGAAAAGACAGGTCATCTCAACACATACTGATCTCTCTGCTTCTACTCTCTCTATTTCTCTCAAAATGTCTAAAATAGTACATTTTTTACTGTTTTTCAGTGCATTCTGGGCATTTTGGAAGGTCTCCTGATGTTATCTTTAAAAAACGTTTCCAAACGCAAACGTGCATAAACACGGTATGCAAACATATTTTAAACTAAGTTTTCCAGCAGTCAGTTTTCATCGTTCAGAAATGTTTTCCAAACATCCCGTGTACATGGAGCCTAAAGTGTTACTAAACCCTGGACCCTGCATTTACTATATCTGGTCTCCAACAGTACAAACAACATGGAAATGCAATTATTTTAGTAAATATAAACTGCTAAATATCTTTTCTCATCAGCAGTTAGAGTAGTCTTGTGACCTCAGTATCCAGCAGAGCACTGGTTAAAGCTTGTAGGAGTTTTCTTTCTGCTCTAGGAGGATGCAAAACCCCTGACCTCTGTCTTGGACAGTGCTAATTGGCCCTGTGCTGATCACTCATGCACATAACTGTGGGCACGCTCCCGCGTGCATGCACCCATGTGCGCACATTCTTGTGCACATGCGTGAGCTTATGCTCATTTCTATTAGCAATGCACCCGTGCTCATTTCTATGTGCGATATTGTGTGCATGCACATTTCTATGCACCAGTCGCTGTATGGAATTCCCTTACAGTTGTCATCAAGTTATACAGTTCCTTAAGCATCCCATATACCCCTAGAACCCATCCAAATTTAACATCTTAATAAAAGCACAAAACCAAGCTCAAGGACTATTTACTGATTCCAATGTGCAAAGTGTTAGAAATATGTATTGCCTGGCTGTGCAGAACTTAGGGGCACCCAAACAGATCCAGCAGCCCCAAAGGGGGTAGTGCTACAACGGTAAACAGGACAAATAGGGTGAATCTCCCTAACAGAGAGACAGGTGTTCTAATCCCTCTCCACTCTATCCAAAACTAAAAAAACGTTTTGCCTTTAGTTGTACTTTCAGCTTTAAAATGTTGGGCATCTACACCTACAGCACAACCTTTCCATTGTATTTTACCAAAACATTGGGTAATATATTGTGTTTTTGTGCCCTAAAATTAACTGTAGTTTATTTTTTACAGACATTTGGTGTTTCATAACCCATTGCACTAATATTGTCTGTCAGCAGGATAATGGACTGGGGCCATTTCTGAGTTCTAGCCAAAGATTTCTAAGAATAAAATATCAAGGTGTTGTCAAGTAAAGTGTTCTCATTGGGTGGATAAAATATAAAATTATTTAACATTTTTAAAGTTATATTTTGTATAGAGTAAAATAATTATAAAGCAGACTCACAAAAAAATCTCATATAAGCTTTAACATGTTAATGTAATTTCAAAAGTAATTTTCAAAAATGTTATATATGCATCTTCCAGTAAAGTAATCCTAGGCGATCCGGCAATAAAGCTCCTTTCCAGGCACTTCCAGGTATGGGATGACAATGCTTTGCCCCATCTCTTAATACTTCTCCTGCATTGTCACGTGTCACACATCCTTTTAGTGGAGATAACAAATGGTTGTTTCAGCACACATTTCTTATGCATGGTCCACTTTTGCACCATCAGGAAACCCTCCCTGAAAATGCCATGCAATCATTGCTGGAGGGCAATTAGCCCATACGCAGCTGTAAAGAGGCTGCCTATAGAATAGTAGCAGAGAGATGTAATAAATGATTAAAAACGTATTTCATTTCAAGGAAAAAGGGCAAAGTTATAAATCAGTTTAGTTTTAGATCGACCATGTTCAACAATTGACAGTGAGCTCATTTAATGTTGTTTGGGTTGGAACAATATTCAGTCTCAGGTGGCACCATATAGGGTGCAGCAAGCTAGCTGTTGTGCCCATTACTGTCCCCTATTTGTTAGTGTCTCTTCTGTAGAAAATGGCAGCATAGAAAGCAAAATTGCTTTGTTTACTTTCACAGATCTTTAACAGAACCTTACATTCAGTAGAAGATATGAAATAATCAAATATTATGTGTGTTAAAATGGCTGTCATTTAATTCTCATAAATGATTGATAGACCAATGTGGGGGGTTACTATTATATGTGATATTGTTAACTTGTTTACATACCACTGCTGTACATGCAACAAAGATTTGTCATCAAAAATTTCAAAGAATCGTCTCCAAAAGACCTTTGTTTGTCAGAAATGACACTGTCTTATGGCTGGATCAGAATGTTGTGATTTTCTACGCTTACCTTACATTATGTTTGCGCGTATGCTTTTTTGCCTATCGGTGTTTAATAAAATTGGTTTTGCTAATGCACTAAGCGTTTGCACCCTTCTATGTGTTTTTACAGTTTTCCTCTGTCAGGATCCCCCAGTCTGAGCAGGGCTGCATCAGCGAGGCATTACAGTTGGATGAGGTAGTACCTTCTGGATGTGTATACCTTCTGAGCACTGGAGAATTCGTGTATAGCTGTATTATGTTCTACTCTACCTCTGAAACATTATTATTATTACATTACATTGAGTTTATATAGCGCCAAAGGGTTTGCTCAGCGCTGTACAATAGAGGGGGGGACAATACATGAAACATTACAGCAACTACAAACAGCACACGAGGGGTTATAGGGCCCTACTCTTTCGAGCTTACAATCTAGGAGGGAGGGGGTAGTGGTACAGGAGGAAGTGGCTGTGGGGGATGGAGTGGAAGGAGGAATGAAGGAGAGCAGCAGTTAGGTGAGGGTGGGGTAGGCTTCCCTGAAGAGGTGGGTTTTCAGGGAGCGCCTGAAGGTGAGGAGGGAAGGTGACAGTCTGATGGATTGGGGTAGTGAGTTCCAGAGGATGGGGGAGGACCTGAAGAAGTCTTGCAGACGTGCGTGTGTGAGGAGGAGACCAGGGGATAGAAGGAGGTCCTGTGAAGAGCGAAGGGTACGGGTAGGGTGGTACTTGGGAATCAGGTTGGTGAGGTAGTTAGGGGCAGTGTTGTGAATGGCTTTGTAGGTCAGAGTGAGTAGTTTGAATATGATGCGTTGGGCGATAGGGAGCCAGTGGAGGGAGAGGCAGAGGGGGGTGGCAGAGGTGGAGCGGGTGGTGAGGTGGATGAGTCTAGCCGCTGAGTTGAGGATGGTCTGAAGCGGGGAGAGCCTGCACTGGGGTAGGCCGGTGAGGAGGGAGTTGCAGTAGTCAAGGCGTGAGATAATCAGGGAGTGCACAAGTAGTTTAGTGGTGTCTGGGGTAAGGAAGGAGCGTATTTTGGCGATATTGCGGAGGTGGAGTCTGCATGTGTTTGTGAGTGATTTGACATGAGGTTGGAAGGAGAGGTTAGAGTCCAGAATGACTCCAAGGACTTTGGCTTGCGGGGCGGGATTGATGGTGGTGATGTTAGTAGTGATGGATAGGATGGGGGGGGGCGCGGGCAGGAGGGAAGACGAGAAGCTCGGTTTTGGAGAGGTTGAGTTTGAGGAAATGGAGCGACATCCAGTCAGAGATATCGTTTAGGAGGTGAGTGATGCGGGCGGAGAAAGTGAAGGTGAGGTGAGGGGTGGAGAGGTAAATTTGAGTGTCATCAGCATAGAGATGGTAGTTGAAGCAGGTGCTGAGTGCTTCCTCTTCTTTCAAGGTCTCTGATGCAAATGTGTTAACCCTTTCAGGACAAAGGCCTGTGAAATCAGGGTTGGAGGTTCTTTCCCACCCAAATACCTCTCCAAACCTACAAATTTGGGGTCCCAAATGAGGACTTATCAATCCAGTGGGAACTATAAGTCTGTCCTCTCTCGCTGATCAGCCTACCCTAAAACACTTTACCCTGCATGGGCGTGAACCCCTGAGTACTGAAAACTGTCTCTTGGTCTCTCAGTTGAAGGGACCACAACCCAAATAGTGGGGAAATATACATACCTGCTGTCCAGGACCCATCCTTGCCATCCTGTACAACACTTATTAATTTAATCTCCCTATATATTATCTCTTTATAAACAGTTAATAATGTTTAGCTATTGGACCTGATAATGTTAATGTTTATGTTTTCTAATATATTATCCATACATTGTATCTGATACTGCATTTTTATATATTTTTTCTTCATGTTCTGATGAAAGGGACACTGTAATTATCCCAAAATGCATTGGTTATCAATAAATATATATATATATATATATATATATATATATATATATAAGTGTTACAATATGTTTCCAAGACAAGTCAACTGATAATCATATTCTGAATGATCTTTATTAAGATAGCAATATTTGTTAACACGATTTAACACAGATTAATGCAAATTAACATTGCTGACTTTAGCACAGGTAACTGGTACAGTAGGTCAATCATTAATTATGTTTGTCATCTTAAGATTCTTTGTAACATTTACGTGCTGAGATGAATGCTATTGGCTCCAATCATCTACTCCCCTTTGCATGCTACAATGAATAACATCGCTTTATAATCAGTGAGATCACTGACATTGGTTCTGCTCTGCACTGCGTAGTAATCAATGACTAAACCCATCTTATTGAGGGCATTTTTCACAAACTCCTCTTTAAAATTTAAAACAATGGAACCTTTCCACTCCAGCAACCCAATAAGTTTTATCTATTAGGGAAACAAGTAACAGCTGGCCTCCGGGTTTTAGAAGCTTTAATATCTTCTCCAGATTGTCATGTATTCATTCTCATCTTTACTGATATTTTTCCAGCATCCACGCACTGATAATGCTGTCAGCAAGTGGTAATAGCACTGGAGAGATTATGTTTTCCTCTTCAAAATCACATTTCAAAATCTGCGTGATGGACGACTTTAGGCGCAATTCTTGCTCCTGACATTGATCTCTGCAAAAATAAAAAAACATAATATGGACATTATAATAAAGTTTCCAATATACAGTGATATATATCATGATGAACAATTCAGCCAAAATTTGGTTAGACTGTAATTTGGCTGCTAGACAAGCTATTGACACTGAAATGGAATGTTTCTGTTTGCTTGTTGTTTATTGAACTGGTAAGACAATGAAGTTGATGTACTAAAGGCAAATAGGCTGTTGACTTTGAAAGTGAAGTTCCAGTTTGTAAGGACATTTTCCCCAGAGCTTAGTGAATGAGGTGATGTTTCACTTTGCAAAGAATACCCAACCAAGTGCAAGGAAAATTAAAAAAAAAAGCATTTTTACTTGCATTTGAATGGATGATGGAAGTCAGCAGAACTTCACCTCATTCATTATGCTATGGGAAAATCCCCTTACAAAGTACAACTTCCCTTGCGATGTCTGTTTGCCTTTAGGAAATCAACTCCAATCAGTATAAAAATAGCACCGTAAATGAGCAAAGAGGCAATTTGATGTATGCATGTATTTTAATGTTATTTGATATGTTTTACCATGTAGAGTACATTACATCCAGACACAGTAAATGAATCTTGCTGTACCTTTATCACACACAATTTGTTTCTTTGGTCAGCAC